AAATCAAAATTGGCCAGGACTTTGTACTGGATGAACCAGCTAAGCATAGAGAACAGTTAAGTTCAATATACCCAAAGCACTCAGGCTCTGACAAATCAAAATTGACCAGGACTTCATACTGGATGAACCAGCTAGGCGCAGAGAACAGTTAAGTTCAATATACCCAAAGCACTCAGGCTCTGACAAATCAAAATTGACCAGGACTTCATGCTGGATGAACCAGCTAAGCATAATCAATATGCCCAAAGCACTCAGGCACAGATTTATGCTAAAATATTTTTAATACTGATTAAAATCAAAATTGAACTTTATAGCATGAGAATCGCATATTACAATCATCAAAATGCCTTGACTATGCTGTGCCTGACTAGGACATAAACACAGTTTGGCAGGATTAATCAAAAAGTCTGCTATTCTTGTCTACGATTTGCTTCATAATTTGYGCCAAATTATATTAGGATCTTGAAATATTGAAACCTTAGTGTAACCAGATTATTGATGTCACACCTTAGCAACTGGTACCACTTCTGTTTGCAAAGTTTGTTTGACTGCCACTTGTTGTGATACATTCCTCATTAAGCTTCTCTCGCTAGATCAACCAAGATGGTGGCTGTTTCATTGTTATTTATATCTCAAGGGATGTTTGGGTTGCATTCCAAGAATGATTGCAACAGAAAATTTCCTTGTATTAAGAGTCAGAGGGATGCCTATTTTCAGGAAAAACCCCTTGTGCAAAACATCAGAGACAGGCAACTCTGATGGCTTGCCTGTGCAACAGTCATCATTTACATTACCCAAGCAGTGCATGCCATATGCATGTTAAATGTATTATACCCACAAACATATCTGGATACAATTGCTAGCTACAGTAGGATGCCTGTTATTGCTATGTGTGCAATGTACTCACCATAATAATTGGCATGATTCCCATGTTAGAACCAATGTTGTTCTTTGCTGCAAGACTACATACATATATGCTTTGTTTCATTTTCCAAACTAAATGGGTAGTTAAAAAAGTGTTAATTGAAAATGCTGGGTAAAAGGGGTAAATAATTATTGGGGTATACATACATTGATCATTATCATTTCTAAATTGTTTTTATATACAGAACATGAACATGATCTTGTTGCCCTAATTCCTGTTAGAGATAATCGACTCCAACCAAGGCGAATGTAAGTACTGTACTAGAAATCATGTTTAATTTTGAAGGCAGTACATAATATTAAAATTATAATAGGCAAAAATGCTAAATATGAGACACAGACAGACATAATGCTAATACTAACTGTCTACACCAAAACAGTCATGTCAAATGAATACCCTGTTTTTGTTGTATAATCCACTGACAGTTTGGTGTAATTTAATTCTAATTTCCTACTCTTTTTTGAGGGTGAAGTTTTGGAACAATGTTGTTTTGGGGATGCAGCACCTATTTTATCAAAACTAAACATTTGGGTTGATCTAAGCCAAGACATTGCAAATAGACTTTAGTCAAATCCAACTAGCAGTCTATGATCAAATGCTGCATTCTGATTGGATGAGCTACTAGGAAGCTATAAGTTATAGCCTACTAGTAGCAAAAATAGCTTGCTTTGAAAACCAATAATTTAATTCATCTATATATTTGACCAACTAGTTGGATTTGACTAAAACAAATAGTCCTCATGGCCTACTGTATGAGTCAATAGTCCACTCATGCTTGAGGAATRATTGTTCATTATTCTTCGTGGTGCAAGATGATTTTTTTGTTTAGTGGTTGCATGCACATGAATATGGATACTGTTCCAACAAAGAATGTTGATGTAAAGGGAATGAAATATAATCTGAAATTATGAGAAAACTCAAGATTACGTCACAGATCAAATTAGATTTTAGGAATATTGTCAGGTTTTGTGGGAGGAGGAAAACCAAATAATCCAAAAAAAACRTCAATCTTAGAGAGACACTATATTCACATGATGCAAAAATCAGGAATAGAACTGAAAATCGTACCAATATGCTGCTAGATATAGCTGTATTGTGTTTTTATGTGTGGATACTGGGTCAAAAGTCATTGTAAATCTAATCTTTTTCTTTCAACAATTTTTAGGGTATACATATTTATTGCACTATTGGTTGTTGCCATTATATCTGGGGTAATAACAACAGTGTTTCTTTTTCCACGTGATGTCATGATTGATGTCATATCTACCAGAGCTATCAATATATCTATCTCAAAGGACAACACTACCACTCCATATATTATTATAAATGTAAGCATGTATTTATTGTCATCCACTGGACTCATGTTTTGYTTGCAATGCCATTAAAAGCCATCCCCATTGCAAAAAGAAGTTATCTTGTAGAATCTTCATTGTCAGGACAGATCTGCACTTCTGTCCTTTTTACATATTCTGTATGCACATTGTTATGATGTTTAGATACTTATATTCCAGTGTTTGATGATTTATTGTAATTAATTATAAAAAAGGCGGGCAATACGAAACTGGAGTATTGAATGATTAGAGTACAAACACTAGAGAGACCAGAGTAAATCCGTGAAACACTAATTACTAAATAGTACAAAATAGTGCTAATTAAGCAATAGAAAACAATGGAATTTGCATGAAATTGTGCTATTTAGTATTACTAAAGTTTCATGGATTTACTGTGGTCATGACTCTAAATGTGTGCAATATTTAGTTATTACTATTTAGCAGTAAATAGCACTAATTAAACAAAAGAAAACAATATAATTAGCATAAAATAATACTATTTAGTGATATTTATGTTGCACACTTTTAGTGTTCGTACTTTAATAAATTATTTGAAAAGTATATGTTTATATATTTTATTCTTTTGTAGAATACAATGCAGATCAACAATTCAAATTTTTTTGAAGTAACTTTGACAGATATCCATCAGCAGGTGACATGGGATCAGAATTATGTTGTTGCTGATGAAGCATTTAGTGGAATATCATTAACTGTTCCTTCAAAGACTAACATAATGGTAATACTCAAGATTCTTTAAGTAGTGACTAACCATAGCAGGTTAATAAGGGTTTGGATGACTGCCAAGCCCACCTGCTTGGCAGCTTCTTGTAGTCTTGTTATTATTATTGTTCCATTCTTAGCTCAAAATCATTAAATATCACACTTGTGGAATTTTTTTCAATTTAGCTTTGTTTTATTTAAGAAAATTGAACCTTCCATAAATTAGTGAAGTTTGATATTTACATTCAATTTAGGATGAAGAAATAAAGGAATGGGGGCACTGCACAATCAACATAATGAAGTACTGAATGAAATATACAGATCAACAATATTAATATATTTCAGGATTGTTATGCTACAAAATCTTTACCAACMTTTTTTGAAATTCTTATATGAAAATTTAATTTTGCAGCATAATTTTATTGTGAAAACAGAATATAAAAATGAGGCAGGCAAGAAAGTCAGGTACATTAACCACTGTTCAGTACTATTTTGCTACAGTAGCTCTATTGTTTAGATGAACCAATCCAAAGTATAGTTTTATATRAATTAATTTTATATTCATCCAATTTAAAATATTGATTTTCTTTATTTTTTTCAGGAATGCCTGTCTTTTGTTAGATATATTATTGGTCATAGAGTAAGTTGTTTTKGGGTTCTTTCTTAGAGTGCAAACAATATAACTGAAAATTAAGTTTAGTCCTAAAGGGAAGACCTGTAAAAATAAGGTTTTTGAGGAGAGATTTTCATCCTTTCCCCCTTGGCATATTAAATGGACTTTCTCTAATCAACCCCCATTCATGACTGACTTTATTTGTATTCAAGGATGGGACAGACATTCCAAAACTTATATTGCAATTAATGTCCTGTTTTATGATTTTCYTTTTAGTTCACAAGCACAAGCATCAGGTGTAACAGTATCTCAAGAATTAACAAATAGAGTATACAAGTTTTTATCTTGTTAATCAAGTGAAGTCATGATAGGTAGAGATAGATAGATAGACTTACAGACTTACAGCTTATGGATTTAAGATATGAAGCCTGTAACCAATCAAAAAGGAGATAAAGGGATAAAAATAGTGTTTATGTTGTGTATTATGGGATACCATCCCCTAAAACAGTATGCAAGGCTCATGGGTAACATAGTGGTGAGAAAACATGCCACACAACAGGGTGGTTTGGGTTTGATTTTAGGACTCAGCATTTTATGTTAGTAGACTTACTTATTGRTTCTTTTATGTGATTCAAGGGTTATCTATCTCCAGGTTCTCCAGTTTTTTCACCTTCCACAAAAATGAGCTTCTAAATTCCAATGGGTATTACTCATGCGGAAGCCATGTTGACTAAATTTTTCCACATGTAGCCTCACATTCAAGCACTAGAGAATTTATGTGGCTTAACAAAGGTTTTTTATTCTCATGAGAATAAACGTGGCTGCTGCTTGGGTAATGCCCATAGGAATCCAGTGGAAGAAGGGCCACTCTGTGGATCCACTGTCAATTAGATCCATTTTTCCATTCATCATTATTTCTTAACATTAGCAGACTTTTGCTAAAAATGCAAACACAAAGTTTATGAGGCATTGGCAAAACAAAGAAATTATAATGATTCCTTTATTTTTTCACTACAGCCTAAATTTCGATTGTATTTACATGTATGTTTGATAATTCAATATATAGCAATTATATTTTTKATATAAATTCATAGCACACGGTTTCTAGGAGAGGTTTAACTGCATTGAGATTAAATCAAACAAAATTGCCTAAATTCTCCATGTAAAGGTAAAATTTACAATTTACATGCATTTGAAACCAGAAATAAAAAGTGCAATTTACCTAGAAATTAGAAGGTTCTACTTATTTTCTGAGACACTAATCATTTTTTTTGATGGAAAATTAAAAGACACCTGCAAATGGGAAAATTACCTTGTGAATTGCGCTTTGACTAAAAGTAAAAAAGAAATCCGAGGAAAAAAACGTTTAATCTCGATCATGCTATTGTTTATACAATATTTTGAACTAAAACTTTAATATTGGCCCAAGGACTGGAGAAAAATAGCTTTCTGTCATAATTTAGTCAGAAGTTGCCTAATGCTTTGCCATAAATATTGCCCYTCAAAACACTTAAAATGACATTTTAGAAAGCCTCAATTTCAAATTTTTCAGCTTCCGGAAAGGGGGAACATTACCCAGGACCCCCTGAATAGCTTTCCACTTAAAACTATGCTYTGCTGCATAAGAGATTTAACCGAGATACAAATAAGGAAAGGACTGGTATGTTTTTTTATTGGGGGAGGGGGCTTGGGGGATTACTAAGTAAAGTTTTAGAAATTAGTTGTAACCCTCCCCCTG